TTAATTAAAGAAAAAATTCAAAAAATTAGGATATATAAATAGTAACTCTTTTTGATTTCCTATTAACTTGTTTTGAAGTCCTGTAGTACTTCCACGATCTTGTTTTGACTGATTAGACTCTGTTCCATTCTATATGGTAGTATCAAGTTTGAAGACATAGGCAACTACTTTGAAGACAATAAGATTCACTAAGATACCCATTCTGGTTTGACTATTGTCTTCTTTGGAAGTCCTGTAATGTTTACAATGCCTAAGTTTTATTGGTCTTGTTCTCTACTGTTTTGTCCAACTTTATAATATCTAATGACATAGACAATTCTTTTTAAGGAATCAAGGGACAACGTTGATAACCATTGTTGATAAACTTGTACTCTGTTCTACATCATGTGCTATGTCTATCCTTGGTATTGACTGACAGCTTTGTTTTGCCATATTTGACTGTATTCTCCCCCCCCCCCAAAAAAATGTAATAAGCACTAAGGAGTAATGAAATCCAAAGTGCGTGAATTTTGTTGTAAAAAAGAGAGGGAAAAAAAAAAAAGAAAAAGAGCTCTAACGGATATAACAGCAAGTGTGTTTGGGGGTGTTAAATAGCTGACTGTATCAATGTTTTTGGATCATTGAACACAGCTGTTTGCAGTCTACCTGTTTGAATGTCCACCTTGTATTCTTTGATACTGTGATTTGAGGAACTATTTTCAAGATGATAATATGTAATATACTAACAGATGATTTCTTACTGTTATGTTTTTTTTGTTTGTTTGTTTTGTTTTTTTTGTTTTGTTTTGTTTTTTTGTAATTCTGTATTACGTGTACCCTTACACCGCTTTGGTTTGTTTTGTGTTTTTCTCTTTTTCCTCTTAAATAAAAAAAAAAAAAAAAAAAAAAAAAAAAAAAAAAAAAAAAAAAAAAAAGACAATGGAAGCCCTGCCTAGGGTGTGAGTTGCAATGACCATAGGCTTACAGCTTGGAGGGAGAGGGACAGGAGGGAAGAGCAGCCTGCTGCTTTCTGCCTGCCCTGCATGGACTATGTCTCCTCTGCAGTGCTCCTAGGCGGTGCTGGCCTGGGAGCCAGCTACCTGGACTGAAACCCCCACACACAGTGAGTTAAAATAAATATTTTTTTCTTCTATTTTGAGTTTCTAAAATTTTGTCCCAGCAAGCAGAAAAGTTACTAAGACAGTACCTATGTGTGCTTTCATCTGATAGTAATATGTTCACAAGTTTATTGTCTGAGCAACAGAAAATGCAAGCTTACACATAGTTTTTAGTGTTCTTTATTTTGGATGTTGTGAAGGGGCTGTAGACATGGGCTCCAGGGACAGGAGAGGAAGCCAGTGAAGAGTGCCTCTTTTCCTCTGGCCCCCACCTAGCTTCTGTTTTTACCAGTCTGAGCTCAACATTGGCCACAGCCACCTCCTCAGCCTGTGCAACAGCTCGAAGGCATGGGGCTGGCTTCCACCAGCACAGGCTGCCCTTTATACTCCGGGCCCACAGATAGTGGGGTGACTTGAATTTTCTTGTTCTCTTTTCCACTTTTCTGTAAGGGCAGGTAATATTAAAATACCTAGCCAACGAAATTATTTTAATATAAATTATGTTACAAGTAATGTTGATGGATTTCTGCCTTTGTAATATTTTATTTGATCTTTTATCTAGGATATACATGAACAGAATGTGTCAGTAGGCTAAAAAAGCACAGTGGGAAGTGTTAAAGAATTCACTCTACGGTCATTGTTACAGCATAGTAAGGCCAAATTCACTCAGGACCACAGTGCAGTAGTGGAACCTTGGTGTGGAGGACAAAGAGTCCTCTGAATTCACCATGGAGAAGTAGAAATTTAAGCTAAAGAGCAGGCCAGGAGGGTCCATAAGTGAAATCTTACTAGACACGAGGGCTGGGCATGGTAGCATACACTTGCAATCCCAGCTATGCAGGAGGCTGAGGCAGGAGGAGCTCAAGTTCAAGTCCAGTCTGGGCAACTTAGCAAGATTCTGTCCCAAAATCAAAAAATAAAAAAAGGCTAGAGATATAGCTTAATGTTCCTTAGGTTCAACCCTAGTACAGAAGGAAGGAACAAAATAAATTAATAGCAATGATGGAGGTAAACTGACCTAACAGGATTCTTGCTGAGACAGTCAGGGTGGACAGCCACCACTGCCAGGCCATGGAGGATAAGACAGTGAGAGTGAGGGCAGAAGGTCATCGCCAAACTGATGCAGCAGGGTTCCTTGCTAGAAGCGAGCTTCACAAGGAAGTATTTCTTTGTTAAGGACCTAAAAGAAGGCTAAGAAGCCTGACCAAACTTTGGCTAAGCAGAGTCTGTCTGAAGTTACTTGAAATTTGTTTTATTAAAATATCTTATTGCCTTTATTTTTAGCTCCTGCTACTCTCTTTCAGGGCTGTGGTGCTTTAACCTGCATGATTGACTTAACATGTAGGCACTTCGGAGAGGCACCTCTATAGGGTAATTTATGCTCCTGATTGCTCTAAGCAGACCATGGATATCTTAGAATAGCTTTCCTCTAATTACCACACCTGTAAGAATAATCAGAGTCTGGGTCGGGGAGCTAGCTCAGTGGTGTAAGTGCCTGCCAGGCAAGCGTGAGCTCATGAGTTTAGAAAAAAAAAAAAAGTCAGAGTCTAAGGAGAAGAATTACATCTCTCTTCTTTTTGGGCCCCCTTTTTAGCCAACACGAGTGTTTTACATCAAAAGAGAAAGAGAAACTGGGCCTGATGGACTGGCGTATCAATGTGAACTTCTCTGACTTTGATGCTTCTACAACTTTCCTGTAATACAGGAAGTGAGGAACTTACACAGGAATCAATTTTGTAAAAATTCATTTACTGGTTCATACTTGAGAAAAGTTGAGGTATCTCACTACAGATGCTCCTTGACTTACAAAGGAGTTGCATCTAATCAGGGCATTGTAAACTGCGGGTATAAAAAACAAAAAACAAAACGCGGATAGCATAAGTTGAAACACAATGAATACATCTAACATGATAACAGCACCACACAGGGGTGTCTGCTCTTGCCATTAGGTGGCTAACTACTAGTTTCAAGAAAATTATGTCTGATTTCTGCTGAATGTGCATTGCTTTTTCCCATGGTAAAGCTGAAGAACCATAAGTGGAACCATCATAAATCCAGGATCCTCCTCATGTTGAGTTAATGCCAAATTCATCACCAGAAGTAAACAGGATGGAGATGCCACTGGATCTGCAGGGGTGTGCAGTGCAGCACTAAGCTGCGAAACCTGGATCCCTAGTGCAGGGTTCCTGTCACTTCTTCCCTTTATCACTTTGGGGTCTTAGCTCTTAGTGCTTCATGTCTCTCTGTTGTCCTGGACAGTGCTGAGCCTGCTTTCAACTACAGAAAAACAGCTCAGAAGAGAAGGGGTGGGAGGGGTTGTGCTTTTTAGCGAAGTGAAGTAAGGGTGACCGGGGTGGGGCACTTGGCTTTCTATGAAAATCTATTATTGGCCGGGCAAGGTGACATAGGCCTGTAATTCCAGCCACTGGGGAGGCTGAGGCAGAGGACTGCAGGTTCAGGACAAGCCTGGGCAATTATCTAGATCCTGTCTCAAACAAAGGGCTGGAGGTCTAGCTCAGTGGTAGAAGGCTTGCTTAGTATGCTTCAGGACAGACCTGGGTTCAAATCTAGAGCTTGAAAAAAATCTATTACCCTAGTCTCTCTATTGGGTTAAGGTACTTTCCCAGAAATCCATTAATTATAGGTAAGACTGACATGTTAACCTATCAATGATAATATGTTACACCCATGTTACACTATTTTTGCAGGACCGTTTCAGTAGTTGGCTGTTAAATTAGAAAGCTTAACTTTTATGGTGGTAACATGGCATGGGGCGTGCATGCACACACACACACACACACACACACACACACACACACACGCTTTGGTCATCCATCCAACTCAGCTCTGCACATTGTGGTACAGAGCATGTGCTTATTATATACCTTTATTAAGCGAAGAGGAAAATCTGTAGTGTGTTGGGTGCAGAAATGAGAGGTTTTGGTATGTGTGAGGTCTGGGTATTGATATTTAACAAGTGTCAAAAGGCTTTAAAAAAAGATAAAAACATTAGGTGTTCAGGATTTCCAGTTTCAGTTCTCATTTACTAACTTTATTTTTATCAAAAACAAAACAAAAACAAAAAAAGTGAAAAGGGTAAAATACACGCTGCTTTGGAAAATGCTTAATTTGTTTTCAACTGTTTGGTTTTGTCTTAAAACAACACCCAAAAAGCCCCCAAAACCTTGCTGCCCTCTTCACACCAAGGTTCAGACAGAACAAGTTCTGCTTTATATTTTATTTTGAGACCAATGCACTTTTAAAGAACTTTGATAGGATAGGAATAAAATAACTTTGTTTTTAGGTTCTTCTACATGGATGTATCAAATTCCCAGTGACTTCAGTAAGGAATTTGCAAGCCGAATGAGGGTTGAAAAATCATAGTGACTTTTCAATTCTGTTGAAATGCTAGTTGTGATCAGTCTGGGATTGTCTAATTTACTTACATAGTATAAGAAAGTTACGGAGCCTATACCTAAGGCCTTAGCAGAGGTTTTAGTGTGTGTTTTTATTTTTATTTAGAAGATTGACTGAACAGAAGCAGAAATTTCAAACACCCACAGGGGGACCCAAAAGCTCCAGTTAGACAGGAGGGAAAAGTAATGCGTTTAGCGTCTCCCAAAGCCATTTAGGAGTTTCCGTGAAAAAGGAGAAATGCTTGGAAGCCTGATCCGCATCCAAACCCCAGTGGAACCTCGGTCCCCCGGGGACACCTGTCGTGTAGATGGCCGCACCCGCGGGCAGCGCCTCCCGCCTCCCTGGCTCAGAGTCCGGCTCCGATGGACGTGGCGGCCCGGCGGGGGGCGCCGTCCTGCAGCGCGCCGGCCGGGGTCCACATGTCCGCCCCAGCCGCAGGTGCGGGAGCCGGGGGCGCGGGGAGGGCAGGGGGCGGGACGGGGGCGGGGCGGGCATGCGCAGTGGGGCGGCGGCGGCCGCGGGCGGGGCGCTGTTTACCCGCAGCCGGGCCAAGTCCGCGGCGCCGCGAGCGCGGGGCCGGCTGCCGCCGCTCCGAGCCGAGCCCGCCTCCCGCTGCCCCGCGCCGCCCGGCCCCGGCGGGGGAGGATGCCAGACGTGCGGGCGCGGCCGGGGCGGCGGCGGCGGGGACGCGATGGGGGCCGGCGGGGGCCGCGCGCGCTGCAGGCGGCCGGGCTGCGGGCTGGCGTCGGCCGGGGCCGCGGCGCTGCTGGCCGGGGCGAGCTGCCTGTGCTTCGGCCGCTCACTGCGCGGCGAGTTCGTGCACGACGACGTGTGGGCGATCGTGCACAACCCCGACGTGCGGCCCGGCGCCCCCCTGCGCTGGGGCGTCTTCGCCAACGACTTCTGGGGCAAGGGCATGGCCGAGAACACCAGCCACAAGTCCTACCGGCCGCTGTGCGTCCTCACCTTCAAGTGAGTGCCTCGCGCCCCGGCGGCGGCTGCGGCGAAGTTCGGGCGCCTGCTGTGCTGCCCGTCGCCCCGCGTCCCACGCCCCCTTCCCGGCGGACCGTAGCGCCTGCCCGGGTGCGCGCCGGCGTGGGAGCGGGCTGCCCAGGGTGCGCTCGGCTCCCCGGCGCTGCGGGCTGCGATGGGTCCCCGCGCCCCGCCCCATGCCGAGGGACCCGGCGGTTCCCGAGCGCGGCGGCGGGGGCGACTCCGCAGGGAGGGCAGCGAGGGTGGGGGACGCGTCCCAGGAGCCTAGAGGGGGCGGACTTCCCGGGCTCAGGCTGCGCGACCTCCCGGCCTCGCCACACCGCGGCTCCGCGCCTCCACTCAGGGATGCAGGCGAGCGAATGCAGTCCCGGGGTCCGGCAGAGAGAGTTTTTCTTTTACACCCCGGAGTCATGATTCAGCATTTCTGTGCGAGAGGAGTAAGGGAAGCCCAGAGCACGCCAGGCTTCCGCCGGTGGGTGTTCTGCAGGATTCCCAGAGCTGGCTGCCTCTGTGGCGGGAGCGGGCGCTGGAGGTGCGGACTCGCTGCCGGCTGGCTCCGCGCCGCGTTTGAACCGCCGCCGGCGCGCACAGAACTGGCAGAGAGACGGGCTCACGAGGCTCGCGTTTATCCGCGTTCTGATTCTTCCCCGCTGGGTGTAGGAGGAGCCCGTAGTTAAGGTTATGAGTATTTGAGGAAGCTGTCCGACTGGGATGATGCGATGACAGGTGGCTCCTGACTTCAAGAAGGAAGCAGTGGCGGTTGGCAACACTCGGTGGGACTTCCACTTGATTCCTACCCTTAAAGTTTAATGGTTGAAAGAGAGTGAGAAAATTATGCATTCGACTCTGAATATAATTTTCCTCTCCACGAATTCTACTGATCTCTAATTTTCAGTTTTCCAGACGTTTCTTAAAGTGGCTGTAGACAGCATAGATATAAATGTTTTACGTTTAAGTGGACCTGAATTTTCACGTATTCCATGAGGGTTGAAGTCCTGGAGGTACCTAAGGTAAAGTGTGCTGAATTTATGGGCCACAGGAACCATCCTGGTCCTTGGTCTGAGCATTTTCCCTTTTAAAGGGTCAGGGCTATTGCTGGAGGGATAGGAATAATGTTTTCAGCATGAGGTTGATGCTTGAGAATTTTAAAGTTTGTCACAGATGGCAGGGACAGAGAAGGCTGGGGTGCAGGGTTGTGGAGGGAGGAGGGAAGGTCAGTGGTGAAGTGGAAAGTTAGCAGGGGTGATGGTGGAGAAGGGACAGAGCAGGGGACAGCAAGCTGTTCACACTGGTAATGGATGCTAGTATAAGGCACCTTGGCTTCTGAAAGGACTGCTCTTTTGATAGGACTTGCTGGGAAAGATCAGCTTGCTGGCTTGCTTTGTGTGTGTGTGTGTGTGTGTGTGTGTGTGTGTGTGTGTGTTTTAGACAGTTGAGTTGCTAATCTAGAAAGCAATGCAACAATGAGAAGGTAGCAAAGCTTCAGTGTTCACCAGTGTTGAGTAGGAACAGTGTCTCAGCATGCTCCCTCATCTAAGGGAAAGCTTTAGAGTGGTGTGGGGAGTTGGGGGCTATAGGTGAGTTTAGACCCACCTGACCTCAAAATATGCAAGGAAGGACGAAATCTCATCTTTTATATGTCCAGTATGCACTACACATTTAACTAGACACTTCATGTAAATATATCTTTACAGTTTTTATTTGAAATAGTTGAAAACAGTTCAATTGGCCCTTTAAACTTAGGCAGTCCAGTTGAACTATGTCTTAAATTATGCTTGTTTGAACAAAATATTTTCAAACGTCAGACTTACTGCAAAACCCTTTTTTGAGAAAATTGTACATTCCTGTGCAGTTGTGAGTGATGGCATAGAAACCCTGTTAGTCCTTTATTCATTTTCTACCAAGGTAACATTTTGCATAACTATAATATTACAAGCATGAAGCTGATAATGATACAGATTACTAGTGCTTTAACTCAGATTTCACTGGTTTTCCACATACACTTTTTATGACCTTTGTAAATATATATTTAGTTCTTAGTAAGTATATATTTAGTATCTCTCCTAAGTATATATTTAGATCCTTTGTAAGTACATATTTAGTTATCCCATGGAGATTTCTGTGGCTACCACATAGTCAAGAGATGCAACAGTTCCCTTTCAAGGATACCTCCTGCTTCCCTGTCACACTATCTATAAACCCCCACGCTAATCCATAACAAACATGAATTCTCTGTCTCTGTAACTTTGTCATTTTAGTGCTGTGTAAGTGGAATCATGTAGTGTGCAATTTATTGAGACTTTTTTTTTGTCTTGGGCACAGTTCTGGAGTTTCATTAAGTTGTTGCAAGTATGAATAGTTTGTTCCTTTTTATTGGTGAGTAGTATCCCATTGTCGGGGTATATACCACAGTGTGCTTGACCAATCACTGTATTAAGGAATCTGGGTTGCTTCCATTTTATGGCTATTAAAACAAAGCTAATGTAAACATTCAATTGCTTGTACATTTTTTTTCAAGGAAAATGTCTAAAAATGCCACACTCCTTTTAATTTTCTTTGTTTCTGATTTGGGTTCTTAGAGTTGCCCATGTTGGACTTGGGCTTGTGATCCTTCTGTTTGAGTACTGGGATTATATGCATATGCTACCGCACCCAGCTGTTGTGGTTTTTTGTTATAGCCATCTGACAATTGTGTGGTGGTACCACACTCCATTTAGTTTTGTTTCCCTAGTGGCTAACAATGTTGAATGTCTTTCTACATGTTGATTTGTGCTCTGTGTAGTCTCTTTGTTAAATATGACTTTCTGTCATTTGTCTATTTTCAAAGTGGATTTTTAAAATGTTGAGTTTTGATGATCTTTTGCTTAAGTACATGTCCCTTTTCAAGTATGTGGATGACAAATTACTTTTTTCCATTCCATAGCTTATAATTTTGTTCTCCCATGGTCTTTCCCAGTGTAAAACTCAAACTTCATTAAAAATGAGTTTGTCATCTTTGATTCATCGGACGTATGTCACAAGTGCTGAGAGCTGAAATCTCCCTTAGGAGTAAACATAATTGATAGGATAAGGCTTTTGCAGTAGAGGTGTTTTGCATGTGTATTAATGAACAGTCAAAGTGCTTGCTCATGTGTTGAGGTGCTAATCATGCTTCTCACATAGGGAATGAGCTGAAGTTGGAAAGAGGAAATAGGTAATCGGAGCATCTGCTTTTTACCAGTTTTGGGGGTACCGGTTAGTGAAAGAGGAAGATAGCTTACCAGAATATGGTGACTTTATGCTCCTTCAGTGTAAAGTTAGAATTAACTTCCCTAGAAACTCCCTTCCCAGGATTACCCTGCCACCTTTGGGCTGGCCTCAGAGGCATTTTCCGTGGGATTTGGAAGGTGGAAGCAGAGTAGCTGTGGTCACACTCAGACCGCACAGGTGGTTGCAGAGTCCTGGCTGCCTTGCAGGTGGAGAGCAGCAGCTGAGCCAGGCCCTTCCTCTTTCTCCAGGACTGCCTGCACAGCTGGTACAGGTGTGTCAGGCTGTGCGGGAGAAGAGAACCAGAGATTTTGCAGGCCATTCTCATCATTTGGTTGAGCTTCAGCAGCTGCTAGAAACTGGTGTGTGTTCCCTACTCACCCTGTGGGGTCCAGCTCATCCCTTTTCCTCCTTCTGGAGTGGCTGCCCTGCTGACCCAATCTTCCTGTACAGACATTTCCAACTTAACAGGCGCTCTAAGCAGCTCCCAGCACTGTGAAAAGACAGTGCTGCATAGCAAATCCTTTTCTTCTGAATCATTCCTGGTGTTGTGTTTTCCTAGCCAAGCTCTAAGTGATAAAAATGAAGCATTCCTTTGAGTAAATGTAGAACTCGGATGAATTTCTATTTCTAATCAAACCTGACATTCATTCTTTTCATAAGACTGTGTACAAGGGCATGCAGGAATATTTTTAGATCATAGTAGAGCAGAATTAGAACATCTGTGAAAACTTAATCTGCAGCAGTAACCTTTTTTACTCTGTTGCTTTGTTCCTGACTGGCCATGACCTGTTTGCAGGTCTAAATTCTGGGGGAAGCATCAAGCTACATTGTGAATACTGAATTGATGCAGTACCAAAACCCTTGATTCCTAGAACTGCCCCTTTCTCAAAAGGTTCTGGTTGATTTAAAAAGTACTTAGGTTATTAATTTGATCTTCTCCCTTTCCTCTTGGGAAGATGCTCCTGCAGAATTGTTAACTGTCTTTCTGTGCGGTAAGCCAGAGAGATCAGCTTTATAAGGAAGAACCAAGGAGTCTGTGATGTTAAAAACAGGGAAATTAAGGTAAATAAAAGGACCTTATACTCATGATTCTCTTCCATGCTTAGGCTATTAGATCATAGTTTGCTACAAAGTTTTACTTTACCAAAGGCTTTTGGTGATAATGTAAACCATAAGAGAGAAGTGGGTGGTTTAAAATGTCAGAGCTAAAAAATAGACTATCTTAATATGTGCAGCTGTAAGAATTTGCAGCACTTTACTGTTTGATTTTGAGTTTCTTTGCAGTAGTTTGCATCTTTTAGTCATGAGCAATGTGCCAACCATAGAAATAAAGCATTAGCCTTCATCGCTCACTAAGAGAAGTGGTGGAGCGTTACTTTTGGTTCTGTCCATTTTGACTTGACCTCTGTGGGATGTCACTTCATTTTGTGACAGCTGTTGTACTCCAAGGCCAGTGAGTTCGTTAAATATGTTGTATGAGACCTAGAAGATGGTCTAGGGCTTGATCAAATTGCCCAACACACTCAGTGATGGAAACAGCCAACGTAAACAGAATTGAAAGAATTGGAAGCAGTAAGGATTTTATAGAGAAGAATGAGAACAAGAAAGCCTTTGGGAATTTTATTCCAAATTCAGGTCATCTTAGGCACTGCCGAGGAGGTGGCTGTGGCCATCGCCCGGTAGGATGTGTTGTAGACACAAGATAAGCTTAGACAAGTGTGCTAGGCGGG